CAAATTTTGAAGAGTAAACAGTTAGGAAACACCTAGGACAAGGTGCTCAAGGCAGCAAAGCGTACTTAGCTTAGCATAACGAATAATGCTAAAGCATTCACGAAGTCAATGCAATGCAGTAGTCGTTCAGTGAGAACGTCCATAAACCACTTATGAATGCCTGACACGAACGTATGACATGAACCTATAACAATTTGCGAAGAATATTGCATACACAACCACAAATTAACAGCAACGCCATGACGACTTTCTCCCTCATGAGTAATTCCACTAATGTAGCTTGGACGACTATTGGCCACTGTCGGTTATATGCATGGCAACTTATCTGTTGTGAAACATAATTGCTTGTAAATTCCGATGGTGCTTGCTCTGCGTGTGGCTCGCAACCTTCGAGAATAAGGTATATGTTTCTTCAGCTTGTATACACCATTAGCGATTTGCCAATACTAGCTACATTTCTAGTAGATCCGAAGCCGAACTGAGTACTGTAGACTTTGACGTGCGCACTAGCAATCCAGTGGTAAAGGCAGTTAAATCGCCAATACCGCGGCCCAGACGGAGTCCCTGAGCTTCGCTTATATTACGTAGTTCAGATATATCTCCTCACCTTAACTTGCTTGCGTTCTCTATGAATAGTATGACCATCCTAGCCAAATGGAAGCATACAGTGCTTGCGCTAACTCGCAAGCAAACTTGTCAACAAAAGGTGAACTATTACCGTCCTATCGCTCACACGGCTATAGCGTCTAGAATCATGAAGAGAATTTTTAATGAGAGAGAGTGCCCATTTTTCTGATGTAACACAACACTGCACAAACCCAAGCATGGATTTTCACACCATCAATGTTGGTACTCGTGTCACTTTACTTTTCTGAGCGAGGGGACAGCTTACATCTGAAATATGCACTGTTAGTCATATTATTTTACACGACAATAGCCATCTGGAGTGTTCCACATGCTGTTCCCTTGACAAAACATACTTCCTGCGAAATTTCCTAGAAGTTGCTTACCTCGTTCTCATTGTACTTGTCATCACAAAAGTAATTTGCCGGATTTCGTACCAACGAAGCGCAGCGGACGCAATTGACTAGTAGAGTAATTCAAGCAGCGTTCTTGACCCACTAAGATGTCTCGTCCAACTTAACGCTTTAGTTTCGATCTCCAAACGTAGAAAGACTTAGCTTTTCGCGGAAGGTATTACAGTTAGCTTCTCCTTCATGTTGTCGGACGTATCGGACAGCTACTCTCATGCCAAAATAACATACAGGAACTAGATAGCAAGAGAAAATTTGTAAGCTGGAATTTTCGCTGGAAAAATGCACTTCCATGTGGCATAAAGGTAAGATAGCGTCGGACAGGCTGACAGTGAACAGCAACACATTGGTCAAATGCACAGAGGTAAGATCCCACGGAGTACAATAATCAGCGTCGCTGTCCGAATTAGCCTATCGTACACAAAAGTTGTCCTGTGTGGAAACCGGGAGTGTCAGGCGTTGTTAACCGGTATATGAGTTGAGGGAATCAGTAGAACATAGTCAGTGGCTTGATATGCGCTTAAGGTATAGGTTGAACGATCGGTTGACTGTGGTAGAGCTTATCGTTCTAACATGTTTGAGAGCCAGTGGAGTTAGTACGCCGGGTTTGAGACCCATGCAAATAATAACGTAACATGTTCAGTAAGCGGATGCTAGAGAAACAGCTGGGTAACAGGGTGAAACAGAGTCATAGCTGTGACGAGAAAAGGATTTATATACTACAGTTGTAGCAAAAATACGGTTGCAAAGCCAGTCAAATAAGTGACCTGGGAGAGCGGAAAAGGATAGGGCCTTCTACAATGCGGCAAACAAGTCAAATAGACGACAGGAAAGGGCGATACTGGGAGCCGGGTTAATTATGAGGAAGAAACTGCCCGCTGATAGGCTTTCAACGATAATAACAGGAGCAAGCGGAGCTTGAATACTATGGATTTAGCGAGAAACTGGTTGTAAAGCCAGCGCTGAAAGGGACCAGGAATATCGGTAGTGCGAGCAGCAGCCCTAAAAGATGCTAGGGGTGCCACTCTAAGGTGAAAATCCACGGAAGAACGTTGAAGTCAAATAGACTGTTAGTCGTACCTCACACATTAATGAGTTGCTGGCAGCCTGCTTAATTAGTATGCAGGAGCGGCGTGCTTTATTATGCTCGGCATAGACTGATAGGCTACAGTGTTGAATACCAGAGAGAGAACAGACAGCAATAATGGCAACAGCTGTAGAAAGAAAACGACAGTAGTGCCGGCTCCGGAAGTGACCAAGGGCAAGAGAATAATACAGACAGCACCTCCAAGTGCTAAGTGTTTCACCCGAAGAGTTGTAATATTGACCAGAAGAGGTGCCGAACATGCATACACTAGAGTATGGTTAAACGTAGGAGTGGATGAGACGCGTAAAAGTTCAAGTGCTCAGAATGTAGTGCTGGTGAAATAAGAAGGACATCAGTCCGATAGACGGGGATATGAACACTACAAAGAGTATTGCGGCCGATGCGCAAAATAAGAGAGGTCTGGGTTGGAGACTTAGAGGAATTTGGAGCCGCAGAGGCCGGACTGGTCCATAAGGTTTAAAAATGAGAGGCACCGTAGCAAAAGGAACATAGCGAGGCCTGGGATGTTGCGCTAACGTTAGTGGTACTTATACCACCGTTGAACAGTTGCGATATGGACCAGAAGCGAGGCCCAACCAGAGTGGGAGACGTTAATGTAAGCTGAGCAGCATGATAGTGAAGCCGAGAGGCAGAACTCAATCAGAGACCGGAAATTTCAAGTTGGCTGGGTGGGACCAAGCATACAAATAATGAAGCAGACGGAGTCGAGTATCACGAGGCTGTTACTTATACCAATGGGAACCTTAGTATATGGCAGCCGATGCTCAAAAGAAGAGAGGCTTTGGTTTGAGACCTATAGGAATCTGGAGCCTCAGAGGCCGGACTGGTCCAAAAGGTTTCAGAATGAGAGACGCGTAGCAAAGAGGATATAGCCAGGAATGGGATGTTGCGCTGACGTTAGTGGTACCTTTACCACCACTGATCAGTTGCGATATGGACGAAAGGCGGCGCTAAACCAGAGAGGGAGGGTGAATAAATAAATAAATAAATATTTTATTCTTGACTATGCGAGGCACGC